CCCAATAAAAAAATTTCTGCATTCCCATCTGCAGTTGGGTGGGATCAGAAAGACGAAGCAGTTGCACGTGTAGAAAAATAAAAAATTCAAAAATGTGTTTTGAAAATTCTGATTATTTCAAAATTAAAAATAAAGACGTGTATGACCGGATTATGATCCACGGCCTGTCATGTACATGTTTTGTCATTGGCTAGATCTAGGGGTCTCCTATGGAGTGGCTGGAAATGCTCAGCACTCTGAAGCTCTTTTGGATTTACCCCCGGTTCACATCTATGCGGTTGGTTCCGCATGAAAATCTGTGCAGCCGCACCACCTGCACAGAGAATTGCAGACTTGCGGGCAGATGCCATTAGTTCTAATGGCACGCCGCCCGCACTGCGAAACGCAACCGTACTGAGAACCGAGGTTCCCGTGCGGGCTGCGTTTTCCAAAGTAATGCAGGGACTTCTTTCCCTGCGTGCCGCGGGCGCGCATGAGTCCATTCAAATGAATGGGGCTCTCTTCCCCGAGCAAAACGCGGCCCGCACGGCCGTATATATGTGTGAACCTAGGGTTACTGAAGCTTTGTGTCTAACGCTGGCCATACACCAGCAGGATTTCATTTAAATGTTTTGGTTTTTTGGAGCATTTATTAAATTTTCTTATGTGAAGGATGACCACCATTTTTGAATACAGGAATGAGAAAATTTGAAGGAGCAGGATGACATTTTTTTTCCCTGAACGAACTTCTAACTGTGAAGGTGGTTTTTCTTCAGGAAAATCGTACTTTTTATAAAGCAGCCTTTTTAATACCTCTGCAATTACATTTATGTAGCCGGATGAAATTTGAAGGGCTTTTGAACGAAACAAGTTTACTCAATGATGGCAAGATCAAATGCTCTAACAATTTTTTCCAACTTTCCATGGAAGTGAATTGCAAAACTGCCGGTTTCAAAAAATCAGAAAACCACCAATAGCATTGTCTCAGGTGGTTTGCAGAGTGTCGTTGCCTCAGCGTTTGTGTTTCAGGCCATTAAGGGGAATGAATAAGTGAATGGAAGAGTGGTCAGGGCAGGAACGCTCCTCAGATTCAGGAGTCTTACTAGTATGCAGAAGAAGGGATGTTGCAGGTTTGGGATAGGAGGGGTGGGCGCTGTTTGAATAATGCCCTGGCAGGTGAAAGGCTATCAGGACAATGACAGCCACCAAGATGGGTGCAATGCTCTGCAGACTACCATGTCATACTGTATCTTGCCTGGCTCTGTTTTTTTGCATGTTCCTCTCCCCTCTCCTCTCATCACCACAGCATAGAGTATGTGAACAACACCTCACTTTACAGAACTGACTGCAAATATATTTCTATATATATATTTCTAATTAGTCTCTCTGTGCTTTATTTGCGCACACACATTGTACGAAAAGGAAATATTGAGCATGGGGCACAACAGGCAATGAATAGCCATGGATGTCTACAGAATGAGCATCCCATTGCACCTGTGTTTTCCATTCTCAGTGTGGAGGTGCCTCCTAGCTCTGACTCTAAGGCTCAATAGACTATCAATCCTGACGCTTGGCGCAACTCGCCAGCAACAGGGTTACTAAGTCGAAAATACACACCTGTCATTGTTGGCTGAACAGCTACAGTATCTCTGCTACCAGTGAGGGTCCTAGGCTATGGAAGCAATTGAGCGAGTTCCCCTCCATTCGGATGTTGTGTAATTGTACCTAGCGTGTCATGGGCCTTAGAGTAAGGCTGTACGGGCTATTTTAATCTACTGAAAGGTTTACGACTTCTACACAATAATCTCATAAGCCGCACATTGATTTTTAGTGTCTATTTTATTCCCTTTTTTCCTGAGACCACCACTGACTGGTGGTCTCAGGAAAAAAGGGAAT